TCCGTTCGTTGGTTGTTGTTGAATAGTTGTGTAAATGTATTCACTCGAGAATATTAGGAGCTTTGGTTGATATGTACAGTGTCTAATGGCGTTAGCGGAATAATGTCAGTGTATTGTCTCCGATACACACACACACACGCACACAAAAAATTCTTGTACATGTACATGGTGGTTAGTCCGTGTAGTGCACTCTCTTACACGTGCATGAGTGAATCTTTGAAGATACTTTTTCTTCACGACACACTTTCCGCTATGCGTCAGAAAACGATGGTACGCGTATTTCAGTTTGGTGTTGCAATACACACAAGTAAATAGTCCTTGGTAATCTTCACCGTTTGCGTCCACTGGTAGCAGACCAGAACACGCATCACACAGGTAGGCCATTTTAAACTAAAGTGTAAGCGCTCTAGAATGGCGTTGGTGCGCGCGTAACACTCCTCGGCGAGATATTCAAACTCATATGACTCTGCTCTATATAGCTACTTAACCGACACTATCATTCACATTTAATTGTCGTTTTCAAGTTCTACAGTTTGGATGTTCTGTTCATACTATAAGAGCACGTGTATATCTAATTAATTAACTGCGGTCTCATTAGAATACTTTTAGCTATGACTCGATATCGGACGTCTGTGTACTTTTCTCGATAGTTTCCCGGGGCAGGTGATTGACATAAGCGACGATGTGTTTATTGTACGTCCGGTCATCTGTGTACTTTTCTCGCTAGCTTCCCGGGACAGATGTTTACCCTACGCGGTGAGGTGTTTAATTAGTGGGCGACGGTCGCTCGCCGCGGCAGAGCTCGCTAATTGGGGTACCTCTTTTTATCGAAAAATTTAACATAGGAATCCCCATTCAAAATTACTGGATAGCGGCTAATACATAACTACTCGCCTGTTATAGGATTCACTGGTTTGCTGAAATAAAATGACTTCCAAAGCTGTGACAGCAAGCCCACGCTGTTTCCATGCTTTCAAAACACACATGGCATGGCATCAGTCAGCTATTTTATGTTTCCAGTTCTAGCTAAGTCACGCAGCCGTACTGTACATGTATTAGAAATTATTTCCGTACCTATACTTTCGACACATAACAGCTGCGTTGCATGGATTGGGGAATCCACAACTCACACGCCTCTCACGACCAAGGGTGCACAACTCTTGCCGCCCTATGTGAAAGCCGTGCATAGGCGAGACGTGTGTCGGTAAAACACCCCGTGGATGTCAACGTGCATGTGTAGCTACACACATAGGGAACCCTGCATTGACGATATCTGATATCAACGACACTTTACATCATACACGTATAATTTGCATTCTTTGCTTCACAAATTGCTTTGTTTATGTTAAGCTTTTGTTGATCTTGCGTATATTTTCCTTTGTTTATTTTATTTACTTCCATTTATTTAGTTTTTGGGGTTATCGGGGCTGGGTGTAAGTAAAACAAAACCAAACACACCGGCCTTAAGATATAGTGTTTTGAACTCCCACTATATCACCAATGTAGGAACATACTTATAAAATCCTTCTTTGCTCAATGTGTATGTTTTTAGGTATTTTGTTGGGGCTATTGGGCTTGGGTGTAAGTAAAAGCAAAACCAAACACACCGGCCATTAGATAGGGTTTAGAACTCCCACTATAATATCAATTTAGGAACATACTCATCAAATCCTTCTTTGCTCAATGTATAGGTTTTACAGGCAGCCTCCTTGATCAACGGCATTTGCCTCACCTTTGAGTTTGATGGGTACCTCGGTATTGCTACCCTCTGTGTACTTACTGTCGGGCAAAGAAGTTATTGCTAAGGCTGAATTTTTAATTATGATCAGTCTAACCCATCATTCACACCATACCTGTTATCACAAAAACGCATTCTTTCTTACTGATATACTGCTGAAATAAATAGCATTGTTTTGTTATCACTGTTTTCAAGTTTTCTTTTGGGGTATTTGGATGGCCCTGAAAAGGGCCTTTGGACCACAGAAATGTGGAGCGAAGGCGAGACAAAGAGAGCTTATGCCTTCTTTGGCTTGGTTGCCTTCTTCTTGGGGGTCTTGACCTTCTTGGGTTTGGCCGCTGCCTTCTTAGGGGTCTTTGCCTTCTTTGGCTTGGCTGCAGCCTTCACCTTCTTTGGTGACTTGGCGGCCTTCTTAGCGGCTGTCTTAGGTTTCTTGGCAGCAGCTGGCTTCTTGACTTTCTTGGGAGATTTGGCAGCCTTCTTTGGCTTGGCAGCTGGCTTAGCCTTCTTGGGGTTTTCAGCTTTCTTTACCTCGCCAAGACGGAAGGACCCAGCAGCTCCAGTTCCCTTTGATTGCTTCAGTGCGCCGTTATTGACTCCATTTTTCAAAGCAGTCTTGATGCGAGCATTGATGGCGACCTGGTTGTCACCAACTTTGTAGTTGGCCAGGATGTATTTCAGAACAGCCTGTCGGGAAGAACCACCCTTTCCTTCAAGGATGAAATAGCTTTCTTGATCATCTCCAAATAAGTAGGATGTGCAGCAACCTTCTTCGGCTTGGCAGCAGCCTTCTTCTTGGGAGTCTTGACAGCAGCGGGGCAGCAGCAACATCAGCCATAATGGTAGGTTTGAGTGTAGAAAGTCACGTCAGCTACAAACGAAGCACAGAGAGCGAATGCCTCTCCCCGACAGCCAGCCCGGGTGATACTACTGAGGCGCGGACGTCGGAGGAGACACCCTGCTTGTTGTGGCTGATGGTTGCAAGCTTGGGGAGCGCGTGTGCTTTCTCGCGCATTTGTATCTTAATAATCACTTCTTAATCGGGGAAAGTTTCCAATGTAAGTACATGATTGGATGCAAAAAACATTTGGCTACATGTCTGTTACAATAACAACAACCACAGGTGAATGTTGAAGCCACACGGGCTATTTTCAATGAAGCCATCGCGTCTAAAATGCAGACATCGCTTGTTTCAAAAGCACATTTCGAGCCTTTAGACACAAATTCAATCGTTTCAAATGTTACATGTCGTTTCTCAAGATATCTAACTATGAAAGTAAACCACAACACCCCTCGTTACTGCCTCTGATAAGCTAAAACAAGCGCCCAAACAAAGGCAATGAAGCACGTTTCTCTGGCAAGTTCGCCATTTTGCGACAGAAAACATTTGACACTATTACTGAACACATGATTTGGGGCACTACATTTTCAGTTGAAATTTGCTTTGTCTCATAAGTACTAAGTAACTTGGATGTTTCTCTCAAGAAACAGTGTGCTAAGACGCGAATCCCGGGACACAAGCGGGTCGCGAACGCCCATGTGTAGAGTAAAATGTAGTACATAGGTTCAGATACCAGCAGTCGCGATTGTCACAGATTAAATATTTTTGCCTGCCACGATTAACCCGACTTTCTTGGCATCACGACAGTATGGGCCTTCCTCGTTTTGATGTTAATTTTATTCGAAAAACAACATATAGGCTACTACATGCATGGTTTTTATTGGGGGGACGAAAACTGAATGTTTCAGGCGAGCGGGGGCGAACGAGTGTGTCCTTTCTCGTGGCAGATGCGCATAGAAACAGTGTTGACGTGTATCACAAGTGCCAGACTTCATTCGTGTAAAGATATAGCCAAATCAAGAAACACATCATTGTGTACACCCACTGAAAACGCGAGAAAGCTGTTTCATGGCAGTTTCCCTTCCCCCCATTACCCTGTGTGTATATGTAGGTAAAGTTTGCCGCTGACATCTGTCTACGGCCATACCACGTTGAAAACACCGGTTCTCGTCCGATCACCGAAGTTAAGCAACGTCGGGCCCGGATAGTACTTGGATGGGTGACCGCCTGGGAACACCGGGTGCAGTAGACATTTCCATTTTTATTTTTTATTTTTTAGCTTTTTTATATTTGGTTGAATTTCCACCCAAAGGTACATGTGTCTCATTGACATCGGAAAGTGACGATACATTATATTTCTTTTCGAATGGGCCCACTCCTGCATGCCTGGATATAGTTGTGAACGATTTGTTCTTACACACTTACCTACGTAGGACTTTTCAGTTATGCTTGTGACCATTTTCACTTGTCAGTTCACCCGATTACTCATCATCTACTCTGAAGGCATGTACTTAGTATGTTTCATTCGCCACATAAAAGTGTGTGTGTGCACCGACCATCAAACGTGTTATTTACGATCTTACTTTCGTATATTAAAGGGTACATATATCACATCACAATGTTGTTTGCATCAAGTCTCGGCGCACAACCCTTTGCCTGTGCAGAGTAGATAATAAGGAAAAGGTACATCGTATTGAACGCCTGTTATAGGATTCACTGGTTTGCTGAAATAAAATGACTTCCAAAGCTGTGACAGCAAGCCCACGCTGTTTCCATGCTTTCAAAACACACATGGCATGGCATCAGTCAGCTATTTTATGTTTCCAGTTCTAGCTAAGTCACGCAGCCGTACTGTACATGTATTAGAAATTATTTCCGTACCTATACTTTCGACACATAACAGCTGCGTTGCATGGATTGGGAATCCACAACTCACACGCCTCTCACGACCAAGGGTGCACAACTCTTGCCGCCCTATGTGAAAAGCCGTGCATAGGCGAGACGTGTGTCGGTAAAACACCCCGTGGATGTCAACGTGCATGTGTAGCTACACACATAGGGAACCCTGCATTGACGATATCTGATATCAACGACACTTTACATCATACACGTATAATTTGCATTCTTTGCTTCACAAATTGCTTTGTTTATGTTAAGCTTTTGTTGATCTTGCGTATATTTTCCTTTGTTTATTTTATTTACTTCCATTTATTTAGTTTTTTTGGGGTTATCGGGGCTGGGTGTAAGTAAAAACAAAACCAAACACACCGGCCTTAAGATATAGTGTTTTGAACTCCCACTATATCACCAATGTAGGAACATACTTATAAAATCCTTCTTTGCTCAATGTGTATGTTTTTAGGTATTTTGTTGGGGCTATTGGGCTTGGGTGTAAGTAAAAGCAAAACCAAACACACCGGCCATTAGATAGGGTTTAGAACTCCCACTATAATATCAATTTAGGAACATACTCATCAAATCCTTCTTTGCTCAATGTATAGGTTTTTACAGGCAGCCTCCTTGATCAACGGCATTTGCCTCACCTTTGAGTTTGATGGGTACCTCGGTATTGCTACCCTCTCTGTGTACTTACTGTCGGGCAAAGAAGTTATTGCTAAGGCTGAATTTTTAATTATGATCAGTCTAACCCATCATTCACACCATACCTGTTATCACAAAAACGCATTCTTTCTTACTGATATACTGCTGAAATAAATAGCATTGTTTTGTTATCACTGTTTTCAAGTTTTCTTTTGGGGTATTTGGATGGCCCTGAAAAGGGCCTTTGGACCACAGAAATGTGGAGCGAAGGCGAGACAAAGAGAGCTTATGCCTTCTTTGGCTTGGTTGCCTTCTTCTTGGGGGTCTTGACCTTCTTGGGTTTGGCCGCTGCCTTCTTAGGGGTCTTTGCCTTCTTTGGCTTGGCTGCAGCCTTCACCTTCTTTGGTGACTTGGCGGCCTTCTTAGCGGCTGTCTTAGGTTTCTTGGCAGCAGCTGGCTTCTTGACTTTCTTGGGAGATTTGGCAGCCTTCTTTGGCTTGGCAGCTGGCTTAGCCTTCTTGGGTTTTTCAGCTTTCTTTACCTCGCCAAGACGGAAGGACCCAGCAGCTCCAGTTCCCTTTGATTGCTTCAGTGCGCCGTTATTGACTCCATTTTTCAAAGCAGTCTTGATGCGAGCATTGATGGCGACCTGGTTGTCACCAACTTTGTAGTTGGCCAGGATGTATTTCAGAACAGCCTGTCGGGAAGAACCACCCCTTTCCTTCAAGGATGAAATAGCTTTCTTGATCATCTCCAAATAAGTAGGATGTGCAGCAACCTTCTTCGGCTTGGCAGCAGCCTTCTTCTTGGGAGTCTTGACAGCAGCGGGGGCAGCAGCAACATCAGCCATAATGGTAGGTTTGAGTGTAGAAAGTCACGTCAGCTACAAACGAAGCACAGAGAGCGAATGCCTCTCCCCGACAGCCAGCCCGGGTGATACTACTGAGGCGCGGACGTCGGAGGAGACACCCTGCTTGTTGTGGCTGATGGTTGCAAGCTTGGGAGCGCGTGTGCTTTCTCGCGCATTTGTATCTTAATAATCACTTCTTAATCGGGGAAAGTTTCCAATGTAAGTACATGATTGGATGCAAAAAAACATTTGGCTACATGTCTGTTACAATAACAACAACCACAGGTGAATGTTGAAGCCACACGGGCTATTTTCAATGAAGCCATCGCGTCTAAAATGCAGACATCGCTTGTTTCAAAAAGCACATTTCGAGCCTTTAGACACAAATTCAATCGTTTCAAATGTTACATGTCGTTTCTCAAGATATCTAACTATGAAAGTAAACCACAACACCCCTCGTTACTGCCTCTGATAAGCTAAAACAAGCGCCCAAACAAAGGCAATGAAGCACGTTTCTCTGGCAAGTTCGCCATTTTGCGACAGAAAACATTTGACACTATTACTGAACACATGATTTGGGGCACTACATTTTCAGTTGAAATTTGCTTTGTCTCATAAGTACTAAGTAACTTGGATGTTTCTCTCAAGAAACAGTGTGCTAAGACGCGAATCCCGGGACACAAGCGGGTCGCGAACGCCCATGTGTAGAGTAAAATGTAGTACATAGGTTCAGATACCAGCAGTCGCGATCGTCACAGATTAAATATTTTTGCCTGCCACGATTAACCCGTGCATGTGTAGCTACACACATAGGGAACCCTGCATTGACGATATCTGATATCAACGACACTTTACATCATACACGTATAATTTGCATTCTTTGCTTCACAAATTGCTTTGTTTATGTTAAGCTTTTGTTGATCTTGAACCCTGCATTGACGATATCTGATATCAACGACACTTTACATCATACACGTATAATTTGCATTCTTTGCTTCACAAATTGCTTTGTTTATGTTAAGCTTTTGTTGATCTTGCGTATATTTTCCTTTGTTTATTTTATTTACTTCCATTTATTTAGTTTTTTGGGGTTATCGGGGCTGGGTGTAAGTAAAAACAAAACCAAACACACCGGCCTTAAGATATAGTGTTTTGAACTCCCACTATATCACCAATGTAGGAACATACTTATAAAATCCTTCTTTGCTCAATGTGTATGTTTTAGGTATTTTGTTGGGGCTATTGGGCTTGGGTGTAAGTAAAAGCAAAACCAAACACACCGGCCATTAGATAGGGTTTAGAACTCCCACTATAATATCAATTTAGGAACATACTCATCAAATCCTTCTTTGCTCAATGTATAGGTTTTACAGGCAGCCTCCTTGATCAACGGCATTTGCCTCACCTTTGAGTTTGATGGGTACCTCGGTATTGCTACCCTCTCTGTGTACTTACTGTCGGGCAAAGAAGTTATTGCTAAGGCTGAATTTTTAATTATGATCAGTCTAACCCATCATTCACACCATACCTGTTATCACAAAAACGCATTCTTTCTTACTGATATACCGCTGAAATAAATAGCATTGTTTTGTTATCACTGTTTTCAAGTTTTCTTTGGGGGTTTTTGGATGGCCCTGAAAAGGGCCTTTGGACCACAGAAATGTGGAGCGAAGGCGAGACAAAGAGAGCTTATGCCTTCTTTGGCTTGGTTGCCTTCTTCTTGGGGGTCTTGACCTTCTTGGGTTTGGCCGCTGCCTTCTTAGGGGTCTTTGCCTTCTTTGGCTTGGCTGCAGCCTTCACCTTCTTTGGTGACTTGGCGGCCTTCTTAGCGGCTGTCTTAGGTTTCTTGGCAGCAGCTGGCTTCTTGACTTTCTTGGGAGATTTGGCAGCCTTCTTTGGCTTGGCAGCTGGCTTAGCCTTCTTGGGTTTTTCAGCTTTCTTTACCTCGCCAAGACGGAAGGACCCAGCAGCTCCAGTTCCCTTTGATTGCTTCAGTGCGCCGTTATTGACTCCATTTTTCAAAGCAGTCTTGATGCGAGCATTGATGGCGACCTGGTTGTCACCAACTTTGTAGTTGGCCAGGATGTATTTCAGAACAGCCTGTCGGGAAGAACCACCCCTTTCCTTCAAGGATGAAATAGCTTTCTTGATCATCTCCAAATAAGTAGGATGTGCAGCAACCTTCTTCGGCTTGGCAGCAGCCTTCTTCTTGGGAGTCTTGACAGCAGCGGGGGCAGCAGCAACATCAGCCATAATGGTAGGTTTGAGTGTAGAAAGTCACGTCAGCTACAAACGAAGCACAGAGAGCGAATGCCTCTCCCCGACAGCCAGCCCGGGTGATACTACTGAGGCGCGGACGTCGGAGGAGACACCCTGCTTGTTGTGGCTGATGGTTGCAAGCTTGGGAGCGCGTGTGCTTTCTCGTGCATTTGTATCTTAATAATCACTTCTTAATCGGGGAAAGTTTCCAATGTAAGTACATGATTGGATGCAAAAAACATTTGGCTACATGTCTGTTACAATAACAACAACCACAGGTGAATGTTGAAGCCACACGGGCTATTTTCAATGAAGCCATCGCGTCTAAAATGCAGACATCGCTTGTTTCAAAAGCACATTTCGAGCCTTTAGACACAAATTCAATCGTTTCAAATGTTACATGTCGTTTCTCAAGATATCTAACTATGAAAGTAAACCACAACACCCCTCGTTACTGCCTCTGATAAGCTAAAACAAGCGCCCAAACAAAGGCAATGAAGCACGTTTCTCTGGCAAGTTGGCCATTTTGCGACAGAAAACATTTGACACTATTACTGAACACATGATTTGGGGCACTACATTTTCAGTTGAAATTTGCTTTGTCTCATAAGTACTAAGTAACTTGGATGTTTCTCTCAAGAAACAGTGTGCTAAGACGCGAATCCCGGGACACAAGCGGGTCGCGAACGCCCATGTGTAGAGTAAAATGTAGTACATAGGTTCAGATACCAGCAGTCGCGATCGTCACAGATTAAATATTTTGCCTGCCACGATTAACCCGACTTTCTTGGCATCACGACAGTATGGGCCTTCCTCGTTTTGATGTTAATTTTATTCGAAAAACAACATATAGGCTACTACATGCATGGTTTTATTGGGGGACGAAAACTGAATGTTTCAGGCGAGCGGGGCGAACGAGTGTGTCCTTTCTCGTGGCAGATGCGCATAGAAACAGTGTTGACGTGTATCACAAGTGCCAGACTTCATTCGTGTAAAGATATAGCCAAATCAAGAAACACATCATTGTGTACACCCACTGAAAACGCGAGAAAGCTGTTTCATGGCAGTTTCCCTTCCCCCCATTACCCTGTGTGTATATGTAGGTAAAGTTTGCCGCTGACATCTGTCTACGGCCATACCACGTTGAAAACACCGGTTCTCGTCCGATCACCGAAGTTAAGCAACGTCGGGCCCGGATAGTACTTGGATGGGTGACCGCCTGGGAACACCGGGTGCAGTAGACATTTCCATTTTTATTTTTTATTTTTTACCATTTTTATATTTGGTTGAATTTCCACCCAAAGGTACATGTGTCTCATTGACATCGGAAAGTGACGATACATTATATTTCTTTTCGAATGGGCCCACTCCTGCATGCCTGGATATAGTTGTGAACGATTTGTTCTTACACACTTACCTACGTAGGACTTTTCAGTTATGCTTGTGACCATTTTCACTTGTCAGTTCACCCGACTACTCATCATCTACTCTGAAGGCATGTACTTAGTATGTTTCATTCGCCACATAAAAGTGTGTGTGTGCACCGACCATCAAACGTGTTATTTACGATCTTACTTTCGTATATTAAAGGGTACATATATCACATCACAATGTTGTTTTGCATCAAGTCTCGGCGCACAACCCTTTGCCTGTGCAGAGTAGATAATAAGGAAAAGGTACATCGTATTGAACGCCTGTTATAGGATTCACTGGTTTGCTGAAATAAAATGACTTCCAAAGCTGTGACAGCAAGCCCACGCTGTTTCCATGCTTTCAAAACACACATGGCATGGCATCAGTCAGCTATTTTATGTTTCCAGTTCTAGCTAAGTCACGCAGCCGTACTGTACATGTATTAGAAATTATTTCCGTACCTATACTTTCGACACATAACAGCTGCGTTGCATGGATTGGGGAATCCACAACTCACACGCCTCTCACGACCAAGGGTGCACAACTCTTGCCGCCCTATGTGAAAAGCCGTGCATAGGCGAGACGTGTGTCGGTAAAACACCCCGTGGATGTCAACGTGCATGTGTAGCTACACACATAGGGAACCCTGCATTGACGATATCTGATATCAACGACACTTTACATCATACACGTATAATTTGCATTCTTTGCTTCACAAATTGCTTTGTTTATGTTAAGCTTTTGTTGATCTTGCGTATATTTTCCTTTGTTTATTTGATTTACTTCCATTTATTTAGTTTTTTGGGGTTATCGGGGCTGGGTGTAAGTAAAAACAAAACCAAACACACCGGCCTTAAGATATAGTGTTTTGAACTCCCACTATATCACCAATGTAGGAACATACTTATAAAAATCCTTCTTTGCTCAATGTGTATGTTTTAGGTATTTTGTTGGGGCTATTGGGCTTGGGTGTAAGTAAAAGCAAAACCAAACACACCGGCCATTAGATAGGGTTTAGAACTCCCACTATAATATCAATTTAGGAACATACTCATCAAATCCTTCTTTGCTCAATGTATAGGTTTTTACAGGCAGCCTCCTTGATCAACGGCATTTGCCTCACCTTTGAGTTTGATGGGTACCTCGGTATTGCTACCCTCTCTGTGTACTTACTGTCGGGCAAAGAAGTTATTGCTAAGGCTGAATTTTTAATTATGATCAGTCTAACCCATCATTCACACCATACCTGTTATCACAAAAACGCATTCTTTCTTACTGATATACTGCTGAAATAAATAGCATTGTTTTGTTATCACTGTTTTCAAGTTTTCTTTTGGGGTATTTGGATGGCCCTGAAAAGGGCCTTTGGACCACAGAAATGTGGAGCGAAGGCGAGACAAAGAGAGCTTATGCCTTCTTTGGCTTGGTTG